CGGCATTCTCAAGGTTCCAAGGAAAAGTACAGATATTTTGGATGCCAGACGAATATTTTAGACCAGTGAGAAGTGAATTCGATAACCTTCGAAACGCTAATAACCACTTTGACATCTTTGACACCTCTTTGACTCTATAATACCTCGTCCTAATAAATCCTCGAAATCTCGCTTATAGTCAGCTTTCGCCAGCTTCAAATACTGTTCAATGTCTTAATCCTGATCCACCATGTCGTCGCGTCGACTCCCATTCGAAAAACCATATGTGACATACGAGAATGCTCCGACCTCTGCATCCAGCATCGCTGCTAACCGCTGACTGTCACGGCTGCATCGAGGAACGCGCTCGATCTTAATAAAAATCAGCGTGCTCGCACGACGAGCTTCCCCTTGCGACGTCGATATCCCTGGAGGTGGAGGAGACGCGTTGTCGCGGGATCATCCAACTACAAATCTAGCGGGCGATAAGGTGGGCCCGAGTGAGAAGGGCAACGGCAGCGACAAGGCACAAGCTTTATGCATTATGTTTTATGAACAGAGGCCGCGTAGTCCCGTGTCATCGCGAGTCCGCGGACTTAATGCACAGACTCGTTTGTTCCCCGAAGTAATAACCCCCAGCGACTGCCGTACCCTGCGATACCAACCCTCTCCTTCCCCCTGCTCCCCCCTGGGCTGAAGAAACCGGCAGACAGAGGCGTAGAGGAAAAAAGGGAGAAAAGGCTCGTAGCCACCCTTTCGCTCGTTCATTTACCTTAAGAGCAACGAAACTGCGTAATATCTTTAGGAGGAGCGAACGAGATTCGTCCCTGCCTTAGGACGCCGCGGCAATATCTACGAAGCGCCATCTTCGATGGCGAGCGGGAAATTAAATTCGCCGGGGAACGTCCGAGACACGATCGATGAGGTATTTGCCCAGGAAGACGTTAAAAGGACGAGGATAATAACGCAATAACTGGATAGTAACGGTTTGAACGGTGTACAAGCTGCTGGATTATGTTCCCAGGCTGTAGTCAGTCGGAGAGGTTAGCTTTCCGAGGGCGTTGAACGACATATCTCCAGTCATGTCGGTTCGCAACGTGAGCACGGGGAAGATTCGGGAATGGAGATTGATGTTTCATTGATGTCAGTAGCGCAGAGGATTATTTCATACAGATAAATTTCTTTATAACCATATTTTCCACCGCCATAATTTCTTTAATACGAAACCTTAATGATAGTGATTAATAAAATACCGTGTTAATAATAACAATGAAATAAGGGTAGTTTTCAATTCAAAAAGGAGGTTTAAAACGAAGTCTAGAACGAAGCGACACTAAAGCTGTCCGCGAAGGGTAATTTGGAGAGAAAAATACGAGACCCTCTGCGAGTATGCGAAATCACCGCCGTCCTACCGGTGGCGCCCTCCTCGCGGTAACGCGAACGCGGACAATAATTCGCGCTTTACACGCAACCGTTCCGCCGATGCACACACAACGGCGGGCTTCAAAATTAATCTGTTTCATTTTCCGCTCGCTAAATATTTATTTGACGTGCGCGCTTGTTTTCTCGCATTGTTGCCGGGCAAACATGCAGTGCCTCGCGGTGCGTGGTGAAAGTAATTTTCTAATTAAATCTTCCGCGAGAGTCGCTGGTGAACGAAAAATACGAAATTTCGCTTCTGCCTTCACCAACGGCAAAAAAAAACAAATGAAAAGGCCAAACAATACGCATTGTTGAAATGATTAAAACGCATTAGGTGGGAATTTATTTGAACTCAGACACTTTGGGCCAGTCGCGAATTCGCGAATTGAAACCGCACTTGTGAGTAAAAGGCCCGACATTCGCTGTGGGCGTCGCGCGGAACGAGAATGAGCGCGGCTCGCAGCGCGGAAACCTGTTGCGACGTCTGCGAATCAGCCGTTGGTGATTTAAACTTCTGCTTTCTGGGTATTCTCGCAGATCGGCAACGACAGCATGGTATACAGGACCAGACACCTGGCCATCCCGCAGGACGACGGCTCGCAGGTGTCCAAGTCTACCATAGAGTTCAAGGTGACGAACGACATGTTCCAAAACGGCCGACTGCACCTGCGCTGCACCGCCTTCATCGCGGACGTCTACCGGAAGACCGCTGACATGGAGATCAGCGAGGACGCGCCGCGCATCGCCTCCATCACCGGCGAATCACCGCCGCGTGGACATCGTGAGTAAACCACTTTCTCTCTTTTCTCTTCTTTATTCTTCTCTTTTCTATTTCAATTCTTCCTCGTTCGACAACGGACAGAAAAATCGTACCACCTATTCCCGCCAATTATTTTTAAAGTTCCGCGCTCATATCGAACCACACGATGTAACATACGAGAAAAGAATACGAGCGATAAAAGCAACCGATTCATTGCCGAAAAATAACACCTCCGCCTAAATGGCCAAGAATGGGCACAGCCCGTGGCCATTTAAACGGACAATGCTGTAACGCGTAAAAAGAATCGTAATAAACCGGGGTAAAGTCCTCCGCTTAAATGGCCACGAGCGAACCCAGTTGATGGCCATTTAAACGGACATCCCTGTAATATGCAAAAAAAAAAAATACGACTATAGGATGGGTGATAAAGAAAGCATGACACTAGCGTTTTAATAACACACGATTCCTGAAAAAAGCTATCAGCGACAACTTCCCAATTAACCGTGGATCCAGCTATCCAGCGGCCATCTTTCGAATTCCTCCGCCTTATCGCGAGGAAAATTCGCACGCGGAGGAGGCCCGGGAAAAGTGGGGGAATTATCAGAAATGGGATCGCGTTTAATCAAGGCGTTATTCAATCGCGCGGCGTTTATCGCTCTGCTGGATCTAAATTGTCCCGGCTGGCAAACCGGGGATCGTCAATACAGAGAGAGGCGGCAAGATAACTGGAACCTGAACTTTCGCTGTGACGGGATCGCAGAGGGTGGCTTGGCGGCCCGTACGGCGGGCAATCGGCGTCGTTCTATATTCGCCTTCGCGCATCGCGGAGAACAATGGCGGCCGCGGTGAAATTTTCAGATCGAGCCGAATGGGACAAAAGCGGGGGTGTCTTTGAAGCGTCCGGACGCGATCGACCGGATAGACGTTGTTAATTGCGTCGTTCCGATCTAACGAGGCGAACTCGAATCGCGGCATTTTATCTTCCTTCCGGCTCACTGGCCACCGATTTCAGGGCTGCGACGCCCGCGAACATGGCGGCCAGAGCGGTGAGGGGTTGTTACCGGTGCAACCCGATTCACTGACGCTGCGAACAGCAGATATTTCCAATGACTGCGACGTGTTTTAAGGTGGCCAAACGATTTGCGATATGGTGATGTCTATACCCGAAAAACGGAAAGGAAGAGCGAAGGAAGGAAAAATTCCTGGGACTTCCTGACACCCCGAAATGCTATTCAAAGTTCGTCTCTATTTTTATGATATATGTTTATAGAGAACGAAGTTAGGAGAGTATAGATATACACAAATCTCTGATTCATAAATAATAATATAATTGGTATCCAAAAGATCGAGCTTTCGCTATACCCATTACAATATTTCCTATTTACTCTGACCTACTCTATTGCTTGTTGCTTTCACACTGTTCATTAACTACATTACTGCCTAAAAACATCGTGCATCCCGAGTCAATGGGAGTCTGCTTTATTTCTTTATTGCCAGTGTTCCATTAGGACCACTACTTAGACTAGTCCCTAAGAATAAGAGACTATAAATCACAACTGGACTAAGAGCAAACCGGCCTGAATTTATCTAAACTTCCATCAACATTGAAAGACATCGAATTCCATACACATCCCTAATAGACATGCACTATTAATAGAAAAACACGCAACTACATCTCAAACATCACAGCAACCAGTCACCACACACCCGAATCCATTAGAATAGACTGAGATCCCAAATAGGTAGTCAAAACCAGAACATCAAACCGAAACATACAACATCCAGTCCAACATATTCACTCTGAATTATAGTAGAATCAAACCTACGAATTTAATTATTAAATTAGCTTAGGTTCATAAAAATACCTAAACACTGTCAAATTAATTCTTCCTATAGAATAGTTAGATGTATCACACACTGTTTTCAAACTGACCTTACTCTACCATTCGTTGTTTGACACTGTCCTCGCTCGCATTCTAACTCTTTCATTTTAACCTCGCATTCTATTTCATGATAGGCTCCTCTAACCAATAATGTACCTGCATTGTCATATTTTCACGAAATTAAATTATCGCGCTAAAATACCGGTTTTATACGTCCATGCTAGAACATGCAAATTAATCAAAATAACTCGATACAGGATTAACAAAATATGAAATGAAAGAACGTTCCGATATTCGTTCGTGAGAATGAATATAAAATCGGGTTATTTTTCCGAGTAAAAATTGGTGAAAGATATTTCCCGTTGCTTTTACGTCTTTGATAATTTGTTTACTGTAACGATAACGAGAATTTTTCCGGTATCGGTGAAGGGATCGTTGGTTTAATAACGAATTCTCGTAGTCGATTTGCATCTGAAATTTGCCCAGGTTTCGGGAGGGATAAATGTTATAAATACCGCGATATTGGCTTCGTTAATGAAGTATGCCGCGCACGATTTAAATGTAACATCGAAATAATTGCATTGTTTAACGACTGGCGGATTCGTTAATGCATACACGAGATAATGCCGAACCTTGCCGAACATTTATCGCTAATGAACGGAGATTGTTCGAACGAGTGTTTACGAGGAATCGGAATACGATGTTTATAAACTACACAAAACTCAAATTTCGCTCCATCCAAACAATAAATAATCGTTGATTTCGCAAAAACGAAGAGGCTTTTCATATAAATTCGCAAAATCGAGTAAATTTTTCTTATATTCAAACATCCCAATGGGATACGTATAAACCCCTGTCGAATATTCGTTATTTGCATGGTTCGATAACGAATGTAACCAAGAAATCGCGAAACGCGAAATGATTTACGTTAATTGTCAAAAATATTTTTCCCCGAAGCTTAAATTTTAATTTCCGCCCCGCAATTTTTGCTCGAGTTGCACGCGACGCGTTGATCTTTGAGATATTCGATTATTTTCTGATACTTGGAACAATCTCACTGTTATCGACATTTTCTGAAGGTGTACGATAACGAAACTCAGGAAAGGGTGGCCGAAATTCGATGAGATAAATCGGGACACGAGGCTTGCTGGTCGCTGGAGATAACACTCTGAACGATTCGCAGGGGTTGAAACGGTCCTAGAAATAACTGTCATTAATTGTCATTTGAAAACAGACGAATAACAAGATTCGGAATTTTAATGACGTTACGTTTATGCGAAAAAGTAAAAATTATTCCGAGCAGATTTTAAAATTCCGATTTTACCATACTATAGTAAGTATTATATATTTGCCATTTTGCTAGAATAAAATCAATAGATTTTATCATACATATTTTACCACAGTAAACTCGATAGATTTTATTATAGCATAGTAAAATCGATAGATTTTATCATATTATAGTAAAATTTACCATTTTACCATAGTAAAATCGATAGATGTTATACTATGGTAAAATTTGCCATTCAACCATAGTAAAATTGATTGATAGATTTTATCATACCACAGCAAAATTTACCATTTTACCATAATAAAATTGATAGATTTTATCATACCACAGCAAAATTCACCATTTTACCATTATAAAATCGGTACATTTTATTTTACCATAGTAAAATCGATATATTTTATCGTGCCACAGTAAAATTTACCATCTTACCATAGTAAACTCGATAGATTTTATAATAGAAATATTTTCATATCGATCCTATTTCCATCCTAACAGCGACATTTTTTAAAATTTTACAGGATGTTTCACACAGAGATTTTATGAAAATTTTCCACGCGATATCGCACGTGCTAAATTGATATAGAAGATATAACTCGAGAGCCACTGCAACCGCAAACAAAATGATCGCTCTGCAACGATTTCGTTTCTTTATAACGGTTATAGGAAATAACGGTTCTTCGGAACTGTTTCGAGATCCGGAATCGATATTATAACAGCTTAAGAGTCGCGGCGATTTATCGAGCAGATGCAATAAGGAAATTACGAGAACTCGGGGATTTATCGAATCTTCTCAGCCGGTTTCACAGCGTAACTCCAGTCGAGGACGGATTGCGATAAAAGTGCCTAGCAGTAGCGAGTCGTAATGGAGTGTGATTGATAACGCTTTGCCCTCCTCGATCAGCCCCGGTTTATCATTGTTAACACGCGCAGGCAGACACGGACACGTGTTCTCTGAGACCTCCAATAAATCCCCTCTTTCGCGGACTCTTCTTCGGCTTATTTTTCTTTAAATATTATTCCTTCGAATACGCGAAAAAAGAAAAATATTAGAAATACATATACGTCACGTGAATTTTCATTGAAACTACGTCACAAAATTTGTCATTAATTTATTAACTTATATTTCTTCGCTGTAGGGACAATTCGAATCTTAACACTAGAACTATCGATTCGGTCAAAATGAGTGGCCTCAGAATTTTCCTCATTGCAGTTGCTAAAAATATATACCTGCTTTTGAGGAAATTAGCGTTGGTACATATTGGCATAGAACTGCGATTAATATATTTACGTATCATCATCGCACCACTAAAATTAATAATTAAATTAAAGGTCGGCAGTCCTAGTGTTAAAAAATCGAAGAACTCAAATTCTCGAATGCAGCTTAAGGCAGGAATTGCGAATTAAAAATGAAGCTTGTCGAGGAAAGATTGTCGACTAACTTCGTGACAAGTTTAACAAACATAAATGACTTATACACCTATCAAACAACCATAATTGTATCTAATACGTTTCAACAAAAGTCGCAGAATTTCTAAAATTGTTCCCTAATTCTATCGTGGATGGAATAAAGTGATTAAATAAAATTAGGACACCTCTTTAATCACACTGCAAGGGGTTATAAAGTATCCAATCCAAATTTTCAGACAACACTGCATAAAACTCAAAAAAGAAAGAAAAGGATTATTACGTTAATCTTTTACTCTACGATGCCATAATCAACAATAGAGTCAACAATAATATGCAACTGAGACAAGAAAACATCGATGAAAATTAACCACGAGCCTACACGTATCTAACTCGTGTTGTTTACATTGCACCCTACCTACTCGCACCAGTCACAATCACGTTTG